TGCAAGAATACTGCAGCTGATTATACTCAGAAAATAAATCACCCCATCCAGAAGGCTGAAAACTGCAATTTTCCACCCAGAAACTGAACGTTACGTTGCCCAGAAACTGAATGTTACGTTGTCCAGAAACTCACAGGACTCCTCAGAGAAGTGTTAGTGCAGCATATCACCCACTGCCTGCTGAATCAACTCTGATGGAATTCTGCTTTCTTTTGGGACGTTTAGTATGTGTCTACTACAATAGGTAGGTGGACAGGAAGAACAGCCTGAGACCACATAAAAGCAACGGCAGTTTCTAAAATTGTTTTGACTGTGAAGCAGATGAGATACAAGATGGTTATGGGTAAGAAATGAAATGTGTACCGTACCCACCAGGAATCAGAGAAAACGGGCTTTACCATATAAGCTTACCATGTGTGCAGATTGCTTACTGTCTTCCTGATTTCCCACCCTGTAGTCCTTTTTGTTTTTAATAAAACATTCTACATTTTATGAAAGATGACTGTTACAGCTTTTATCAGTTATGGTACAATTTAAGGAATATATTTGCTCTTTCTTCTAGTATTCTCAGGATATGTTCTATAAGTCATTATTCTGTTACTTCTCTTTTATGCCTGGTAGGTGAAGGCAGCCACTTAAAGCATATCTTGACATTTTTTTCACTGGGAGCAAAGAGGGTTTCATGTATCTTGCAGCTATGCCCTAGATAAAAATGTGTAATTTTGAAATATCCATTTATTTTAATTTTTATTCTTATAGAAATTGTCACTCTTCTATGCCTTGTCTTCCTACTTAAGAAAATATAACTAAACAATCTGCAATGAAAGAGCTTCTCACTGGGAAGCCATCCTAGTGTCCAACATATTCCACAATTGTGCTTTCCTAGATACTCCAATTAAATGTGTTTGTTTATAATCCTTCACAGATAATGTGGTTCCAAACACTACCCTAAATATTCATCATCATCCTTCTTGCTTCTAAATATTTTCAAGTTATCATCACTTGTTCTTTGTATCCACGGCTTCCCAAGCTGGAGTTCAAGTTTGTATATGGTAATATAAGTGTGGGAGGTATTTGTTGAACTGCCATGTATGGAGACCAAATATTCACCCAGCCATTAACTTTCTGTTTATATATGTTACATACAAAACTAATTTTCATCAAACTTGCACTTTCCATTTATAGGTAACTGAGGTGTATACCTGATAAATAAGAACAGAAGCCATATACCCTCTAAGCAATACAATAAAACTCAGTCTATTCAAAATTTCTCTCACTTTGATTTCATTTTACTTGCAAGGCAATGACATCACTGTAATCAGTTCTGGGACTCCACGACAACTTCACCTGTATCCTTATTTTAACAGGACCTTTTGGATTTGTTGCAAACACGAGAGGTATCTGTTCTCACAACACTTTTTGCCAGCAATCAATCTGTGATTGACATTGGTCAGCCTTTTTTCTCTTGCTTGTATTGAAATGGATGACAAAATGTGGGAAAACTCTGGAGGCAGGTATTTCAGAAAGCTCTGGATTAGAGATTTGATCTGCATAAACCCTGCCGTAAATAAAAGCCTACTGACAGTGAAACCCTTACCAAATGCATATGCCTTTCAAGAAAAAAGTAATCAATATTTTTTTCACATCTGGCAAACATATTCCAGAGAAGCAACACAAGCAGCAACAGAAAGGAAGAACAGAAAGCGCAAGTCAAACAAATAAGCAAAAAAACCCATCATCCCTCTTCAGCAATTCTAGACCATTCTTGCCCAAATTAACCCAGAGAATGCAAGAGGACACAGGAGCATTCACAATAGTGACTGCGTTAAGCAATTCCCTTAATAGGAACTTACCATTACTAACATACTTTTGCAGTGTAAGAATTCCATTTTCCTATATACTGCTACAGAATCAGGGTCCTTCCAGTTATTAGATGTAGCTGGTTTTGGTGATAAATCAAAAGTTCTTATTTCATAATAATTTCATTGCATGATGTTTGTTTAAAAAAAAAAAAAAAACAAACAGAAGTGTAGTGCTGCTATGATCTATAGATTTGGTAATTCTCAAGATAGAACTCTCTTATTTCTCAGTTTGATCTGGCATTGAAAAAAGAAAGGTACTTTGCCCATAACCAAATAACTAAACCAGTTCTCTATTTGCAGCTGGATTTCTACTGCTTGCCTGATGACTTCTGGAAGTACAATCTATTTCAGTATACAACCGGTCACTTTCCTTTACAACTCAGCCAAAAGTTTATAAACAAAACTGTGGCTTTTTAGACCACCCCTGGAGACTGCTACAGTGGCTAAAAAGGAGAGGCCAGCTCCTTTTTTGAAAACTGAGCCATTACTAATCCAAAAATCAAGCAATAAACTTTCTTGATTAGCAATAGCTGTAATCCATCCTACACCTTTGCTTTTAGGAACAATCATCTCGACATTATGACATTCCATAAAGTACTGTTTCATTATCATACTAAAACAATAATCACATTAACAAGGTTCCTGTCTCCTTTCCTCGCATCAAGAGCTACGAGCAGATATTCCTTTTAATTGCTTCCAGACAAATGTCTGATCCTGCCAGTGCAATTGTAACAGACCACTGTGTATCTCTGTGCATACCTGACAGCTACATATAGCTTGAATAGACTTGTTTTGGAAAAGTCAAACCACTTTCAGCCTGAACCATTACAGAAAGAGCCTGAATTCACCAACAACTGTAACAGTCCTTCTTCTGCTTGCAGTGTGACAATGAGCTTCCCAAAATCTGCTAGAATTGGCCACTTCTGAAAGCTCTATGGATACATGTGATAAGTATTATTAGGAATATGGTTCAAGACATCAGACACTGTCCATGGAAAGCAAATACTTACAGTTTAGATTAAGTAAGAAGAACAATATTAGATCTGGACAGATAAAGAGAACCAGAAAAACTATGATGAAATGTAATCTACTTAACAGAGGCCAGCCTAACCACCATGACAGAAAACAGAATCATCTTCAGTGGAAACTTCTGTTTTATAAGCTGAGCATTTTTCAAGTCTAGCTACCTAAAGTTTTCATTGGTTCTTGACTGCATTGGTTCTGTAGAAGCACAACTTACAGTCTTCAGGGACTCAAAGATTCAATCTCTGCATTATTATATCATGAAAGATACAACGTGCTTCCTGTGGCTGATTGCAATGCAAGATCCTCACTGATAATGTGCTGGCTTCAAGGGAAGTCTGTGTGTTGGTTTTAGCAAGACCTGTAACAGTGGTAGTTTAGGTTTTTTACTCATAAGAATATAAGAAAAGCAACACTGAAACAGATCAAATCTCCATCTCTGACAGCAAACAATAGAAAAGAGCATAAGTACAGAAAAGTATAGATACTCTCCCAACTGTGGCTGCAGCACTTCCTGCAGAGATGGCACCTCAGGTATCTAACAGTCCCCAAAAGATTTTTCAGACTAATTTGACAAGTCCTTACCTGAATCCACACGCATTTCAGCATGGACTGCATTCTGTGCCAAAGAGTTCTGTAGCCAAATTCATAAAATGCAGCATTGTTTTGCTCATGCTGAATCTATCAGGCGTTAACCTCTTTTGATAACTGTTAGTTCATGTTCTTCAGTGGATAAAACAGGTGTTTGCTATTTATTTTCTCCATTTCACCTTCAGTTTTACTAACCTTTACTTTACTCTTCTCTAACCATAACCTGTAAATTATCTCTCTTCTAGGCTGAAGAGTCCTCTCTGTGTATCTAGTCACTGATCCTGTATTGTAACTAACTGAATTGTTCAGTTGCTGCAAAACAAGACAAAACAAAACTCCAGACTTTTTTTTCTGCACCACCAGCTTATAACTTACCTTGAGATTATTCCAGTTAATGTCAGCCTCAATGTGAATGAAGTCAGAGTAGAGCCAAATTAAAACTCAACCTGGTAACTTATTTACAAGGATAAATTAATTTAAACATATCTCCACTAGAATTCTGAGATAATCTATTTGGATTGGTTTTTTAATACAGAGGAAAAGTGAAGCAGGAAGCGTATCTGTCTTCATCATTTCAATATCCACAAGGGATATGGAGCTGTGATTGTCATTTTCAGCTAGACAACCACAGGAAACTCTGCCTGTAAAGAGCCATGTTCAAACATGGAATGTAATACCACGACTTCATCTCACACTGATAAAATTCAGACCCCATGCATCACCTTCGCAGTTCTGCTGCAAGTCACACATCCGTTTAAAAAGTCACATCTGCCTCCGTGGGAAATGACAGAAATTTGCCAGTTTAGAGTCACTAGCAGAAAGATAATCAGGCAAGAAACTAAGTTGTGTTAGAGGAAAAAACAGCATGCAATAGGCTAGGCTGACATAGGCTAAGAAGGAAGGTAAACCCAGTACCCTTTGGGGTGGTGAAGAGAAGCAGCAAGTACTTCACATGCAAATTACTAGTCAAGTGGAAAATGTTGCATATAAAAAGGAGGTTATAGAGAAGGAAAAAAAAAAATATCCCAGAGAAACTGAACTCCCTAGTGATTATGATGGAACTGACACAAAACTTACCATGCCAATCATCTGTTGGAGATACTGCGCAGATTAAGTGGTAAGTGCTTATACAAAACCACAGAAACATGTTTTACTTGCTGTTATGGTTGCACAGACTATGTTTATGCATTTATGAGTTTACCTTTTGTGACTAAAGTGAGACTTACAGAGCTAAATTAATGATCTTCTAACAGGTCTTTTCAGTATTTTACTCATAACGCACACAACTCCTAGCTCTGCTTGGGAAATTTAAAATGTACTTATCCCTAAATGAAATTCTCAATCATGGTTTCAACCACTTCAAAACAGCAGCAAGGGATAAATTTGAAATCCAACATTGCTAACATTTTCTAGGACCACTGACACAAAGATGATGAAGTAGTTCAGTAATGCTAATGTTCATTCATTAACACATCTGGAAAGCCACTTAATGAGAAATAAATTTAACATAACGAAAGCACTAACCAGCGACTGTCGGAACAGGAAACACTTCTTTGGGTCAATACCACAGGCAAGGACAGCAGCAGTGGTGTCCAGGATGTTCTGGCGCAGGACAGCTGGCTCCTTGGGCATGGTGAACGAGTGCATGTCCATAATGCTGTACAGCACCGAGCCGCACTCTTCCTGCAAATTCACCCAGTTCTGAATGGCTCCGAGGTAGTTACCCAGATGAGGCGTCCCAGTTGGCTGAATACCAGAGAAAATCCGATCCACGACCATATTCTGTTAGAAAGCATTGGTAAAATTAACACATGCATTCTTTTCACAGATTATTTTATATTTTAAAGTCATTAATAAAGCCTCACTCATGCCTGTCTCTTTGCTCCTCCTGTCAGTGTGTTAATGTATAAATTAACTCAGGATTGACTAAAAAAAATTGCAGTTCAGTCAAAATACTCTCTCTCACTGCAGAGACTAACAATGAGTGTAATTTTAAGCTGTCAGACTGCATATGCAAACACACGTAGCTGTAAATAAGACCAGTGAAAACTAGATCTCAGAAACCAAGTGGTAGACTCTTTCATCCTTTTTTGTGCTGAACCTGTACATTTCTCTATAGTACATTATCCACTCTGACACAGAAACTTAGGATCACTTAGTGTAGAGAAATTCAAACATTTTTGGTGACAACACATGCAATATCCATGTAGACTGTCATCTTAAGTCCCGTGCACATTGAAGTCTTTTCTAGATGTAAAGATGTTTTGAGCGGTTCCTGAAAGAAACCTAGTCCTTGACTCAAAGGTCAAAGAATAATGAAAAAGATTATCAAAGTTCTTAAACTACCCATCTTGGCAGCAGTAGGATTTCTAAAAAGGGCAACCAAAGAAACACTGTTGTAGCTCAAGATCACACCTGGCATACCGTGGATGCATCAGTACCAGTAAAATGTCAACATCTGAAGAGAGTTCACAGAGAAGCAGCAAAAAATGATTAAGAAGCCAAAGCTTAAAACATGTATAGCTTGGCTAAGTGACAGTTACCATCTTGGAAAGTTTGTTTTCCTCCATCCCAGCCCTCCATCTGACCATTTTCTCCCTGGCCCAAGCTGTCAGCATATGATCAATTACCTCCCCGACCTTTCCAAAGAATTCCACCATATTCAAAAACTAACTCAGCAATGTTTTATGTGAAAATGCTTGTTATGTGCCAAGTTGTAAGAGCATGCAAGACTGCTCGACTTATAAATGAGGGTCCCACCAACCTCAGCAGGGAGTCCCAGTCATACAGCTGCACAATAAAAACCCTCAGACTCTGTTGTGCGGCAGGAACACCAACTTCATTATGCCTCTGGCTGCATGATTTTTTTTCCTGCTAAATTTTATAAGCAACATCTATAACAAAGTAGAGAGAATTTATTTACTGATGTGGTCCATTTTAATTTCTGTGAATCTTTTACAAATGCATAGGGGAGAAAAAAAATAATAAAATCATACAACTATGAAACCACACAAAATGACAGTAAAAGTCAAGGCCAAGTACCACTAGTTTTAACTATCAAAAAAAAAGGACTTCAAATTGTCTTAATTTTGACTCAGACTCAAGAAAAATTAATGAGGAAGCATTTCCAAGTGGGATAGGACTTTTTTTTTAAAAGAACATGGTTTATAGTTCAGAAAAGCCTAGCCCATTTTCTTCAAAACTTGCTGAAAAATCCCCTTTGCTTTCAAAGTAAGCCTGTTTTTCCAGATCAAGACAATTTTCTTATCCAATGTTCAAGTGTTTGTGCTGACAGGTAAGAGCAGGTTTGGGCTAGCAGCATCCTAATTTCTGCTCACATAATTGTCCAGACACCTAAGTCCACGTGGTAACCCCCTCACTCCATCCCAAATATCTGCTTAATTTCTAGGTATACTCTTGAATCAGTTTCTAAGCAGTCTTGGAGAACCTCCAGGACAGGAGCTGCAAGGTAGTCACTGCAATGAAAAGCACACCATCTCCTCTAACAGCAATTCTAACTTCAGTTCTTGTGCTCCAGTCCATTCACGCTTCTTTTCTCCATTACACAAAATGGAATTATGCTACTCAATTACTTGTTTGCCATTTGATCTCTTGTTTTTCTAGGAACCTACATCAGAACATTCATCACCACTTGCAGAAGCCCCTCACCTCCCACTAAGCTACTACCTGGCCCAAGGACTGCAGCCAGCTTCTTGTTAACACTGGCCAGGTGTTCACCTAAAGAAGGAGGCATACAGATTCCCAACATACATAAATTAAATGAAGTCTTGTAGAAACTCATGACTCACTAGGCTTCAGAGCTGTGCTTCTATTATTCTGGGCACAGAGCAGTTGCTAAGCAATGCAACAAGTACTTCACAGGTATAACATTTGTCTTTTGCTTCCTGTGTTCCTGGTCTTCACCAAGAGAATAAGAGCTCAAGAAGAAAACAAGGCTAGAGACAGATGATCACTAAGATGGAGTTCTGCCCCTACAGGGATCCCAGAACAGCTGATTGTTTGTCAGAGCACATTTCCTCTTCTCATCTCCCTGTCTCTCCTCACTCAGTTCAAATCCTGATGCTCCTTCCCACAATTATTCCTCCACACGGTGCTTTCTGCTTTCTACTGTCTGTTTAACCACACTTTTCTACACAGGCTACAGCTTCTTACAATCTTACTCTCCATTTTCTTAGCAGATAGTTTCATTCCTTCCAAGTTCCTGTATTCTTTTCTTCCTCCACTTGTGCTTCTCTACCCCCTATTTCCCACAAAGAGCTCTTGCATGGTATATACAGACAGTAAGGAGAAACAGCGTATGCCACATGGTAAGGAAGCTATTACTGCCTTGACTCCAATGATTTTATATAGAATATGTTTCCCACCTACAGTGTTAGAATAGCTAACAAACTTCATGATGTTCTAGAAATCCACTATGGATGTGCATCAAATAAAGTATGTTAGGATGACCATGTCAAAGCATGGTGCAGAAACGTGCACATCTTTCAACTGCAGGCTAGACAAAGAGAGCATCACCTGAGATGTCTTCTCCTGATGTTAGTGCTTCTTATCCCTGGGACCCTGAGGCTAGTGCTACTTCAGTGCAGGAACAGCTCTACCCCTTGGGGTAACCACCTGCTGTACCAGAAAGCAGGAATCCTTGTGCAGTCAGCACAGATCAGCTCACGTGCCAATACCTTGACCCAAGCAGAAGTGGGACCTTGAGCCTGTGGAGAACAGTTCTGCCTACAAACCTTGTCAGTCCCAAAGTCACACAGACTCCATTCCCTTGCAGCATCAGCCCCTGATTCACATGCTTCCCACAACATGTACATTACCTGCCTTTTCCCCTTCCCAGATCGTTGTAGATTAAGTCACTATGAACAATCTAATATACTGGCAAAATTACATCTGTTAATTTGAGAATCATCCATTCAAATAGATGGTACAAATGCAATAGAGACATTTAAGTAGGCAGTTTGAGAACGTTTTTACCAAGAAAATACAAGATATCAGAATTACGTTATGCATTCAAATTCTGCACTAACTCCAAATATTTGAAAGGTGACAATGAGCTAACTAAAGATAGGTTTATTGTAACACTAAATAAGTTAGCATCTGGTGACACACTACATGTTGGAAAGCAAACCCTCAAGTACAATGTAAAATGTAAACAGTTTCATAAAGAGATAAAGTTCTGTCTCTCCAGTAAAGAGTATGCCTGTGAAAGCAAGCATGGCATCTTTAACGGTGCTTGTACATTCAAATGGTAAACAACTACTTATAAAAGGCTCGTTCAGTATTATGGGCAATAAATATCAAGTTAAACAGGAGAAACAAACAGTAGCAGTATTATACTAAGTCTAAGCTCAGCAATTACTTAACCTAAGTATGGAATTTGCAGAAACAAGTAAATCCAATAATGAAAACTGAGCTAGGCTGGACCTGGGTAAAGCACTAGCAAATACATTACAAAGGACAAACCCACACAGGCTCCCAGCTGAGGGACCAGTTGACCAGGAGTCTTTCATCTTTAACTCCTTTGATTCCATGTAACAACATAAAGCACGAGATGTTACAGCAAATAGGGTGGTATGAAATATTCCATTGTGTTAGCAGGAGTCTATATTAAAAAAAGCCCATACAAAACACCCTTAAATGAATCTTGGATTTCTAGCACTAAAAATATACAGAGAACATTGCTCCTTTGGAGAGAGTTTATGTTCCCTGTTTGTTCACTCCGTGAGAAGCAGCGGGCAGCATAGCAGCGTGGCAGGGGAGTTCTGCCTGGTACCATGAAATCATGGGGCTGGAATGCACTTCAATGAAGCTGTTAGGTCAGGGGATGGGAGCTGTGTGCTCCAAAGTACTGGAGTTGGAAAAGGATGAAAACAAAAGGAGTGAAGACTTCCCAATGGAGCGGAGTGAAAGCCACAAGACATGCAGCCCCAGCCCACAGGCACTCACTCATTCAGACATCTGTAGTAAGCACAGTGTGAGCCTGCTGTTCGTATGTTTAACTCTGTGTGGTGTGTGCACCTACACCAGTAGTGCTGCATGTTAATCTTCACTCCTGTAAAGAGCGTGGAATTTGACAGATGTTTTAACATCTATTACTTGCTTTCTCTCAATAAGACCTCCGCGTGGCAATTCCGAACACCACAGTGCATTTCTCAGCAACATTTCTAAATGAAGCTTGGCCCAAAACTCATTAAGGTTCAGGTGTTCTCTTACCTAACCTCCCTTTTCATGATGAGATGAAGAACCGCTGCTCCTTATACTGGAAAGTTGTCAACATCCAAATGCTCTCAAATAATCAGGAATAAGCATTACATTCTTGTCTCAGAGCAAGGATGGCTAAAGTCTGGCCCCAACACCCTGCAGTATGGCCACATTCATTTTCAGTGCGAAAGAGTATACTGGAAAAGACAATAGCTCCCAAAATCCAATGCTGCTCTCTTGGACCCTAGCAGAGCTTTTCTCATATGCCACACCTGTAGTAGGGAGAGCTACAATTGTCAAGACCTCACTTCAGTGCAGTCAAAACCACACTCATTCCCTGCCCATGAAGAAAATGTGCCAGAACTGGAGAACACATCAAAGTCGCTGGAGTTAAGGAAATCCCATCTGCATGTCTCCTAAAGACCACCACAAACAGCTTTATTTTTAAAGGAAAGATGTTAACAGCATGCTTGCCTAATTGAAAGACTTTTATGAAAGGATATTATTAAAGTCAACTTGATGCTGTTCAGTTATATAGGGAAACGTATGTTTAATAC